AGTGATGGACAGGGTTTCCCTGATAATGAATATGAATACTTTGGGTTCTGAGTTCCTACAGATCCATCTGATCGAGGTGGCCTAGCTATGATTTTCTGACATTCTAGTTTTAATTTACATACTAGGAGTTTCTCCTTAGGATCTGTTTAAAATAGGCCAGTGTTCTGATGTTGCCTCAGGCTACCCAGCCGTCATGACAGGCATGGAGTCTGCTGTTCCCCCATTTTTTGAACAAGACTGGGTATATGATGTTTTGTTGGTGACTTGGGGATAAAGACATAGATCCCTTGCATTATTATACCTAAGTTCTGCCTCCATGGACTGGTGTTTCAGGTCCTGTTATTGTGATATTTTGTGATGAAGAATAGGACAGTAAAACTGGGTTTGTTCCATGTTACCAAACCTATCATATGGTTAGTGTAAGGACTAACTAGAAAACAGGGATATACAGTCTCCTGGTGAATTAGTCCTTTAATGGTCATAGGGCACTACAGAATAGATATTCAGGAGACAAACTTTCTAGAAAGTTCTGGATGTATTAATGATTTATAGTATATTTCCACAGCATGCTAATATGCTTCTATTCTACCTGGAAATTGTCACTGTGTTGCAGATAATGAATTTATATGGTAAGATACCAGGGGTACTAAAAATTCATGTAGTGTGTATATTATTTAAAAATTATGCATGTAAAACAATATTTTGCATCAAAATTAACTTATATTCTGATTTTATTTTTCTGTTAATTTTTTTCTTTTTAAATTTCAAAGGCAGAGCTACATGGTATGGCAGAGAGAGAGAGATTTTTCATCTGGTCAGCCCCCTAAATGGCCACACAAGGTATGGGTCAGGCTGAAGCCAAGAGCTCAAATTCTGCTATTATTCTCTGTCTAGCAATTAATCCATATCTTTCCTTTTTTGCCATATCTTTCAGTATGAGTTTTCTCAGAGCATAGTTCACAAGGAAGAGAGCAACCTGTATCTGATACTTGGCTTTCTCAAAACCTGAAACACTTGAAATGTAACTTGATGAGTATTTTTTTTACCTCATCTAATCTCTTTGGTTCCTTTATAAATTAGCATGCACATACAAATAACCAAATTATTGTCACTATACCTTCAGTTCTTCCTTTTTAGTTGTATAGAATATATACAATGCAGCATTTTTTCCTGATTCATGGAAGAGAAAAATTTTCTGTTCCTTTTTATATTTTGCAACATTCCATTCCTTTCCTGATTTGTGTCTGATCAGCAAAGCTTATATTACTATTAAACCTGCAAGGAGAGTTTATGCATACAAAACCAATGCCAATGTTTAAAATCATACCCAGCTGGTGAACAATGATGTGCAAACCTTCGTCCCTTAAAGGATACTCATAGCAGATTAAAATGATGAATATCCTATTTATAAATGGACATTTAAATACCTCAGTACCTGATATCTATATATTTGGGAAAGAAGGGCTATTATTTTTTATGCAGGACAGGGGTATAGACCAAACAAAATCTTCTCTAAATTATAGTAACTTAAAATTACAATGAGCATATATAATGCTGTAGAGCTTTTAGGATTTCAGCTCTAAATATACTAGTCTGACTCATCTGGACAGGGGTTTTGGCAGAAGTGGAATTATCTAATACATGATGCTGATTAAAAACATTCTAAATCATGAGGTAGCTGTGCTTACATCATTTCTAAAATGATTCATCTGTGCAGGATATATTCTTATTGCCAGAGATGTCACACATCATCTTGGCTAGAAACACAGAATCACATCCCGGTATGGCAAACTCAGAGTTTATTCAGATTCTTTCCTCTGCTGGAATTTTGTCAGGTTAATGCTGCTTGACACATGTGGTCTTAAAAGTTTCCAATCTAAATCTGCTGCCATTTTGGCATTTGGCTGTATCTGGCCTTATGTTCCTGACATTGCACTGAAAATGTTTAGTTTGTTGAATTTAAAAAATATGTTTATCACATTAGGCACCAATTGATGGCCAAGGATATGTCTGGCAAATTTAAGCACTGGACAAACAATTGACTAGTAGTGCAAAACCCTTAACACAGCATTTCTTCTTGGTGTTTTGAAATATTTATTAGCATGTTAAAACTGAATAAAAAATGCCAGAATTAAACAATGGCCGTGAATTCAGATGTTACAAATCGTATATTTCATTTTAGATAAAACTTAACAATGAAAAGTTTATCTGAGAAATACAGAAGAGCAACCCTCCTGGATCTGGGCGCTGTTAGCTTAACAGCATATTAATCACCCATTACATGGTGCCAAATATTTATTGCAAATGGGCTTAAGCAACTCAAATGTGTAGCTTCCTTTCCTGTTGTGACTAAGTAACTTGAGAACTGGTTGGGCTGAAAGTGCACAGAAACAGTATACACTGATTATCAGCAGGGAAAACTGCCATCAAATCAATGCACGTAGCATTCCTTCCAAATTGCAAACAAGAAAGTATTGGACACCTACAGTGCTTGGTCTCTTTCATAGCTAATGCTAGGTTTTTCTGAATTGATCTCTGTTTAAAGGTCAGTGATACTTGGTCTCTGTAGAGCTGTGGCACCATTTCTGACTTGATTTTTAAAGATACTCCTATGTCAATAGCACCTTTCTATCCTACCAGTTCTTTTAAAAAAAGATTTGTTTTATTTTTAATTTATTTATTGGAAAGGCAGATATACAGAGAGAAGGAGAGACATAGACAAAGATCTTCCAGCTGCTGGTTCATTCCCCAAGTGGCCATAATGGCCAGAGCTGAGCCGATTTGAAGCCAGGAGCCAAGAGCCTCCTCTGGGTCTCCCACGTGGGTGCAGGGTGCCAAGGCTTTTGGCCATCCTTGACTGCTTTCCCAGGCCACAGGCAGGGAGCTGGATGGGAAGTGGGGCAGCTAGGACATGAACTGGCATCCATATGGTATGCTGGGGCTTGTTAGGTGAGGATTAGCCACTAGGCTATCCCACCCTACAAGTTCGTATTGTTGTTCTTTGTGTCAAATACTTGTATTGTGTAGCATGTTGTTTCCTTTGTTGATTTTTACTTGATGCTTTTTTATAAATGCACAAAGATAAGGCTTAAGGGGGTACTAGTGTCATTTATTTAATGAAATTAATTTTTAGAAGTTTTGAAAAGCTTAAGTTCATTTGGAAGACTTAAATGTTGTAACATGCTTTGAACTCACTAGTATCATCCTGAAGTACTGTAAAATCAGCACCAGTAGTCCTTTTACTAGCTCTGACATCTTTCTCCTATCATCCTAAGAATCTATCTTACCATCTTCTTTCAGTTTCCAACTCTTATTTTTGTTTCTTGTCTACATACAAAAGCTTCAACAAGAATGCACTGTGTTTTAAAAATGAAAAGCTAATAAAAAAAAACCCCAAACACCCAAGTATGTGACTAAACATGAACGAAACATCTTAATTTAGATTTTTACTCAAATTTTCATGGAAGACACTCCTACTCAGTCCTACTCACTCTTCAAGGAACTACCCTGTATTTCTCAATTGACCCACATGATCCTGGGGTTGCTTTAAAAGAGGCAAGTTAAGCTGTCTTCGTAAATTTAAGAGGAAGGAGAGCAGCCTCCTTCTCTGTTGTTGTAGACAGTGATAAGCAAACAAATCTAGGAAATTCTAAGGCTGCTCAGTCTCTCCACAGTGCCCTACTTTTCACAAAATCTACTAGTACATGTTTATTGACTGGGTCTCAATTTTCCTTGAAGGAAGAATGTAATTTTGTGGCATTTCAACCTCACTAGCCTTGCTCATAATTTAACAGTGAGATTTCCTGAGGAAATTTTTCTCTTTTCTACTACTTCAAAATAGGGCATAAGGCATACTAAGGGAACTCAATCATGGCTATTTCTCTGCCAACAACAACAACAACAAATACTACTTCATTTGTCATGTTAGTATCTGATTCCAGGTGACAATTTTGCTGAAGCAAAGATGGAAAGCTAATTTCTTGACTTCTTGGCTTTCAGAAACCCAGCCTTCATACTTGCTAGGTATGGTATCTTTCATACTGGAGGGTCAGAACAACTGATGTCATGCCCACAATAACTTTTTACTATTACCTATATCAGGGAAATTCCTGTAGCTCCCCCGCCGTACCCCCTGCCAACCCCATTCCTGAATGAATGAATACACTGGGAACACATCATTGTTCGTTTCAAATGTTCTCCTGGGTTTGTAGCAAGAAAGGTCCCTTCATATCTGGTATCTCACATTTTTTCAAAGTTCTTCTATATTTACTAGGTCTTTGTATGTGATGCTTGCATTCACACTCTCTAGAAGGTGGCAGATATGAGTGCCCCGCTCTCTTGCCCTCCCCTTCACCTTAAGCTCACTAGAGCCTGCCAGAGGCTGCCAGAGTGTGCTCATTCTTCCTAAGGAGTGTTGAGGAGTTAACTACACTGGGAGAACAACCCTCATGAATTACACAGTGCCTTGGGATGAGTTGCCCAGCTCTCTGACTGCTCATGGAAGACCTCCCTAAGGTATGACCTACGTGGGTGTCTCATAGGGCCCCAGAACAGTGCAGTCACAGGCACAGGCAACCATAGCAATAATATTTCTGTCTTATTTCCTTACTCCCATACCGGTGCTTCCTGGGCTTACCTCCCCAATACACTACTTGTATCTGAATCCTTGTGTCATAGCCTGCTTCTTGGAAAGTCCAAGCTAAGACAGTAGGACACAGAGAAGATTGATTGCTGTTAAATACCACATAGGTTCTTAATGGAGAACCACAGCTGGAACCCAGGACTACTTCGGATGTCAGATTTATAGCACATTTAGGTTAGGCTGCTGCTTACTGATGACAGGCAATTTAAAGCATCAGTCCCAGGACTTCTGGGCAAAATGAAGATACTACAAATGTGAAAGAAAAAAGTTGTTAGATACTTACTCCTGGCCTTTTAGGAACCCAGTCACCACCACAAGCAGAAAAACAGAAACAGAAAAAATGAAGGGCAGTAATTACCTAGCATGACGAAAGGGACTCCCAGGAAGGTGGAATTGTATTTTCCACCAGTGAGATTGATGATCCCGGCTGCAGTAAGAGTGGCCAGGCTTATGGTCACCAAGCCAAGCAGGCCTAGCCAGGGTTTGCTGCGAACACAATCCTGCATGGAGCAACAGAGGATGGCCATGGTGACGACCAGGATCAGGCTGGTGACCAGATAACGCTCTGACACACGGCTGGTCTTCTGGAAATCTTCCCTCAATGATGAGGAAGTGTAAGGGTACATTTTGACTTTGCTGTTATATTTCTGGAACGTTTTGACAGTGTCACAGAAGCTGGACTCCCACCTCTCGGCCACCATGTCATTGAGACTGTTGATTGATTGCAGGTAGTAGGTGAGCTGGATTGCCTCTGCGGATTTCACCCGGTCCTTGCTGTGCACTGTGACACCCCCAAGCTGGTGCCCGTTGTACACGGCCCGTCCATCCTTTAAGTGCGTAATCGGGTATGTGATAGCAAAATTGGTCCGATTGGTGGCCCGAGCATTCTTTAGCTCTTCTAGGACGTGCACTATGTCATCCACGATGCAAGTCTTATCATTATTCAGGATACATATGTGAGCAAATGTGTAATTAAAACCAGGCCTTGGAACCTGGATCTTGGTCACAGCAGCATGCAACTAAGGGGGAAAAATGACATTAGACATTAGTAAGTGACACTAGATTTGTAAGATCAAATGTTTCTTTGCATGGGGGAATTACTCATTTAATCTCTACGCTAAAGAGAAAATAAAAAGGTTATTACCAACAACAAGAAATAGGTAGTTGAAGTACAAAACACACTGGACCAGTGGCTCTCACAGTGTGGCCTCTGGGCAATAGAACCAGTGCAGTCTGGAAGCCTGACAGGAGTGAAAACTCACACTCTCCAACCACCCCCTCCTCCTGCCAAGACCTGCTGAATCAGAATTTCTGGCTTTCAGCCTAAGAATTTGGGTTTTCGCAAGCTCACCAGGGGGTTCTGATGCAACTCAAACTTGAGAAGTACTGCATTAAAACATCAGCAAATTTCCACGCATTTTTCATTTGTAACTCCATTGATCCCTAATGTTTGATAATCCTATATAGGTCCTTTGTTCCATTTTTTAAATCTTAAAAACATAGTGTAAGAAGTATACTAAAGTATACTTCAAATGCAGCTAAATTATTTCATCCAGTACACTCACTGTACCATAAAAGACAAGAGCTATACCTGGGGGCCCTTTTATTATCTAACTTTCTTAATCTGCTTATATGGGAAGGGAGCTGTAACTGTTAAAGAGTCTTACTGGGATACACGGGAATCACACTAAAGAAATACAGTGGATTTCACACTATACACTTTGCCTAATGTAGAGTTTTACTGTGTTCAGGTTTTGTATGACTTCTACTAAAGTGTACATGAGAATACAAGCACTAATTTAACAGCCTCTATTACATGTCAGGCACAGTTATAGGCCATTTACACTGAGTAACTCATTTAGTCAAAGTATTAAATAGGTGTAAGTATTAGCCTCATTTTATAGATGAGGACATTGAGACAGAGAAGCCAAGACAATTGTCCAAGGTCACATGCGTAGTATGTAGCAGAGTTGTGCTATACTATATATATCGATCTAGCTTGGCAATGTCAATGACTAATTCTTGAATTTGTGCTTTTACTTCCCTGCACCTAAAGATCACAAGTGCTCAAGTTCAGGTATAGTTGAACTAACAGGTTCTTTTTGCATAGTATCATGCTAGTTGTTAAAGCTATAGCTACACTGGTCTCTAACTCAGCTCTTTCAAGTGGCCAACAATTTCTCCTTATGACAGTGGCAGATATGTAGTTTGCACATAGGTAAATGAGTGTATTTAGGACCATACCTAGCACTGAGTGGGCTCTCCCCAAAATGTCTCCAGAACTCTCATGCATTTTAAGTCTGTTTTTGATAGATTATTCAGGAAGACATTTTGCTGTTTCTGTGCCTAGGTATTTGCTTTGTTGAAACTGTCTGAGGGGTACTAGCTATCAGAGTCCTTTCACTGGCATAGCACATGAATTGTTCATCCTAATTTTCCATGCCCCTTTCTCACATCCCTTTATGTCTACCAACACTTAGGTTAAGCAAACACTTTGTTGTATTATGTTTACCATGTGCACACACAGACACACGTGTGCGTGTATACACACACACACTTTCCAGAGATACCTAGGAAGCTGTTTTTCAGAACCCCAACCATATGCTGAGTTTTCATTTTGGTGCTTTGGGATGAATGGTGAGCAAAATGTGTTTTAGTGATTTTAAGCTGTGAGAGCGTGTTGTTCACATCTACTCTTTCCCAAGCAGGGTTTAGCAAATTTTGATTAAAAGAATTCCTAAGAATTCCAAACTAAGTGTAAGAGATTATTTTGGAGGAAGGAAGATCCAGAAGGAATTTAAAGATGAAAATTTTGATACGAGTAAAAGACTTTGGGGGAAAGACTGAGACGAGGCTAGAAAAGGAGTGGTATTGAAAGCATGCATATGTGTAATATTTAGTGCATTGTTTGTTACCATGAGCAGTGTAATAAATCTCCCTTAGAGTGATTACTAAATATGTCAAGAGAAAAAGATTGCCAAATAAGATGGTGTTAAGCCACAGGGCTGTACCAATTATAGCAATGGGGATATTTTCCATCCATTCTCTAAGGCGACCATGCCCTGTTGGGTGGGGAGTTGTCAACTATTTAGTAATCTGCCAAGTTTGGAGATCTACTGTTCTGATCACTGGACCATAGAGTACTGCACTGCTATAATTCAGTGGGAGGGGGGGAACCTGGAAAATGGAAACTTAACTGAAATTTGAGAGAGAAACTTTCTCAATTTTCAGCACCAGACTTGGTGTGAGATGTAACTGCCTTGAATTTCTAGTGAAGTGGTGGGTAGAGCATGTGTCACTCTTGCTTCTGAAGTGGCAGGGTGATGCAGAGTGACAAAGCAGCCAGAGAGGGGGTGTTGGCTGAGGCCACCCACATAGTAGGCAGAGGCTGTGGGATTCTATTGTGAGATAAGAGGTGAAAGGATAATAAGATGCATGCAAAAGGAGAGTTGAAATATTCTGTTATGTATGAGTTCTGAAATGGCTCAGTTCTGATCTTTGATTCTAATGACTACACATCAGTATGCACACATCAACTCTGAAAGGTCTGTATAGTCTGAGGAAGAATCACTGCATGTGTTACTGGGGCAAATATCTGTACATGATTTTAGACTGCCCTGATTGAATATTCTGAAGGAGCCCCACTGAGGGCAGTAAGCACACATATTCAGGAAAAAGAAAGCCAGAAATGAAAGCTGTGTTTTAGCTAATCCACAACGATTTTATAATCACAATCACACAAACTTATTATCAAACCGAGAGACCTCCTTCTCAGACAAGTTTCACAAAATAGTCTTGACCTTGAATACAGTCTGAATCTGGCATACAGATCAACATATAATCAATGTTTAAATATGTAGATTCTAGGTTATTCCCTAAACAGACATTCCAAAAGCACTTGTCAAGTCCAGTGTGTTGTCAATAATAGGAACATCTTCCCTGAATTTACTGTGCTTATACTTACTCACGGAAAATCTTATGACATACAATATCCAAACAATGGGAAGATCATAAGAGTAAACACCCCAAGCAGTTTGTATTAGTAAAGCCCAATTAATCCAATGTTAATTCTGATCATGAAATGTTGGATTATTATTTTGCTTATTGCCAAAGAGGCCAGAACTGAATGTTAAATTGAGATTGATTCGAAGGCTCTGAGCGTGCTGTTTAAATTGTTAATATATTTGTTCTTATCACCTTTCAGGTTAAGAATGATGGTAATATTAAGTAGTCTGTTAAATATTTTCTGTGCAGTTTCCAAACTATATTCAAATCCAACTCCATGAATGTGGTTTAATTATTATCCTTCTTTTCCAGCTGTAGCAACTAATGCCTGAAGAATTTCAGAGCAGGCATTCTGTCAAACAGCTTAGAAGCCCATGTCCACCATGCATATGCCTGGGTTTGATTCCTGGCTCTGGCTCCTGCTTCTGTCTTCCTTCCAATGCAGACCCTGGGTTGTAGCATGTGACAGCTGAAGTAACTAGATTTCTGCCTCTGATGGAGGAGACCTCAATTGTATTTCTAGTTGCTAGTCTTGGCCCAGCTCAGGCCCAGTCATTTTATGTATTTGAGTAGCAAAATAGTAGATGAAAACTTTCCTTCTCCCACTCTGTCTCTTTTGCCTTTCAAATAAATAACAAAAATGCTTATAAAATTTCAGCAACTCACCTAAGGAAAAGGCTTCTAAAGTTGGGCTTTACTTTACATGAGTATACCTAACCCTAGACCAGTACAAATTCAACATTAGGAAGAAGAGAAGTGGGGGGAATAATGAGGACTTTTCAGCTTACCTGGTTCAATTGACCAATACTGAATATGAATGGGTTATGGGATTGCCACACTTGGAGATCTGCGATCCCGTAAGGGAGACCAAAAATAATCCAAAGAGCAAAACCTCATTTTCAGACAGCAATATGACATGTCAATATTAACTGCTAAGAAGGGATTGGGTTTTCAGTTTACTGACTTTTTGTCTTCCTTATCAAGTCTGTGAAGTTGGCAAGTAAAACTTTTCAAAGCCAAGTGCTCTAAGAAAGAAAAGACTATGGAACATAATGGAATCTAGAAGCTCCTACTATAGCTTCTACTGCTTAGCTTCTGGATGTCAGGAGCCCTTCTGAGACTTCATGTCTTAGACTGATAAGTAACAAGGGGCTTCATTTGGCTCATCTTCAAGGGCAAAGCCTTCTATTTTTGCTGCTACAGAATTCTATGATGAATGACATCCCAAACTACACAGATACTTGGTGAGAGTTAGCTTACTAAAAACCAGTTTGAGATGTATTACAGGTGCTTGAGGTATGCTTGTGCAACATATTCAAGTTCTTTTTAGCACAATGATAGATCCAGTAGTAGATGAAACCCAGAAAGAAAAGACAATAAAAAATAGGTTTACTGGAAAAAAATAAAGATTCCCTTCTTTGAATGATTTCTCATTTTGGGGAGGCACTGACTCTTATCCTCTTCTGCCAGAGCCTGGGACAAAGTTAGTGTGGGCCACTGGTCCCAACAGGCCATAGTCTCATTTCTTCTCTGTCTCTTCTTGGCACACTCAAATCTTCCTTAGAAGATAGCAGAACACCTTGTAAAGGAGAATACAGAAGGCATCTTGGAGGAAGAAAGTTACTATTTGTTAGTGGAGAGTAACATAGGAAAAATACCTGTGGGCTCACAGGATTTTATACCATATCTTTTGGCTCTTTAAAACTTAATTTCTTGGGGCACCATTGTGGCACAGAGAGTAAAGCTGCTGCCTGCATTGCTGGCATCCCCTATGGGTTCTAGTGCTGGTTTACATCCTAGCTGCTGCACCTATGATCCAGCTCCATGCTAATTACTTGGGAAAGCAACAGATGATGGCCCAAATACTTTGGTCCCTGCTAGCCACTTGGGTGACACAAAGGAAGCTCCTGGATCCTCAACCTGGCCCAGCACTGACTGTTGTGGCCATCTGGGGACTAAACCTATGTATGGAAAATCTGTCTCTCCCTCTCTTGCTCTGTAACTGACTTTAAAA